CTGTACCTTGTCACCAGCCTGTATCACGTACCAACATCCTGCAGAGCACATCCCACACAGCTCGGGGATACTTGCTGGTCTTGGTTCTTGCTAGCTTCAGCCCTGGCTGGCCACAACAGTCAACTTCACTTCATCTCAGAACTTCTGTCTTGCTGAGTTCAGTAGTTTTAAAATGTTTTCAAATTAAAATCACCATAGTTAGAAAGTTTTTCACTAAGCCCATTTTCCAGGTGTTTCCAACACATTTGCCTCGAAGAAATGAGCGCATGGAACTACCAACACCTCCATCAGCAATGCAGGCAGGAATATGAGGCATCTGAGGCAATGGTTTACACCTTCGGGAATACCTGAAGGCTACTTCAATGCACAAAATTAGATTTACAAAACCTCAATGACAGGAAAGTAACATCTTTGAGTTTTTAAGCTGGTTGTACACACACGGCAATAGTATTGCAAAGGTTTATGATCTATTTATAGCGTAAAACAACTCCTTGAACTATTAAATAGTTCCAGTCTTTTTATCTCCCTTCTCCATACGTAAAGCATGCCAACTCCACATGCAAAAAAACCAGCTGCTCAGAGAAGTAAAGTGGACACCAAGTCAGCATTTGGGCACCGCTCTGGGCAGCTGAAAAGCAAGTTTGCTTTTCTGCAACTCAGAAAAGAGGCAAATGACATCAGCTAGTTCCATAAAGAGTCAGACAAGCTCACGGACAACAGGTCAACAAGTGGGTACCCAAAGGACTAGGCAGGACTAAATTCTCTGCTGTGCCCAGCAAGGCTGGATGCTGGTGGAGGAGCAGGGACCAGTGGGTGGGATGGTGCTTCCAAGCTCTCCTCCACCACAACTCCTGAAGACAGACCACTGGGCTAGATGGGCCTCTGCTCTGATCCACTAGGGCCAAATCTTCTCAAATGACCACAAAAAAAATAAAATCTTTACATAAAGGTGCACACGCCCCCCCCGGAGCTGCCTCCCTGCCCAGGCTAGGTCTGTTTATTCTGGCACCCAGTTCTCAGCACCCACCCAGCTCCCGGACAGGATGCACATAACAATCCATCTCCTGCTTTCCACTTATTTGAAGTGTTTTAGTTTCGGCTATCTTAGGTTCTTCAAACTTCAATGAGGATTAAAAAAAAAAGACTTTATCTGATTTGAAGGGAGAAAAGATGTTTTATTAGCAAACAGGCGAAAGCACTGTAAGACTGCTTGAAACTCCTTATGTTCCCACAGTACTTGCAGCCACACACAAAACTTCTCAAACTACCAGATCACTACATGATCAAGAAGTGAACCACTGAGTGCATGAGAAGGAAGTGACTCAGACTGAAATTCATAAAGGACAGCATGAATGGGACAGGATTTCCGCTTACAGCTCTTTTTACATGGCAAGGCTCTTTATAAAAAAAAAAAAAAACACACGACAAACCAAACCACAAACCAAAAAAAAACCTACCACAAAAACCCCCAACCTTGATCCCTCCTCTCCCATTCAGTTTTTAAAAACAGCTCTACAGAAAAGCTACAGTAGGGGTTTTAAATCAGAATCCCTACAACACACCTCCAACTCCTCTGCCTGTACAGTGTCTGTCCTACCACAAGAAATGCTCAGAATAGCTGCTAACTTTTCAGACAATTATTAGCTATCAGTCTCCTTTTTCTGCCCTGAAATGGCGTATTTCCAGCATAAACTAGATATCTTGATTTACAAGTGCAGCTCCCAACATAAAGACAAGATGCTGTCCATGGAAAAGGCCAGAGGAATTGCATTTATATCCCCAATCTGAAACAGTAATTTCCCTACTAAAAAGAGGTCCTGATGCTATGTTATAGGGCCAGCCTGGATCCACAATTGAAGAAATGACTGAACCAAAAGTACTCCAGGGTTTATTTTACTACTATTGATGATGCTATCACCCCACTTCTTTTACCAGTGCTGAATCAGCTTTTCAGAAAATGCTGATTCTTCTAATACCGAAAGGAGGCAGTAAGTTATTGACACAGGGCACAATTTGCCTTGAGTCTTTACTCAAGTGTCACGGGCATAATACATGCAATTAGTGTATATTTTAAGTACGTTGTTGACTTAAAATACCTCATGTCCCGTGATCTGTCATACCTTTTCAAGGGAAAAAGTAGAGTGGTCCTTGCACTGTACACTGAACATTTTCATCAGTGTTATTCTCGGAGTATGAAGACAGGCTGAGAGAGTTGGGGCTGTTCACTTTGGAGAAGAGAAGGCTCCAAGGAGACCTTCTAGCAGCCTTCCAGTACCTAAAGGGGCTACAAGAAAGCTGGAGAGGGACTTTTTACAAAGGTGTGTAGTGATAGGACAGGGGGCAATGGCTTTAAACTGAAAGAGGGGAGGATTTCAATTAGATCTAAGGAAGAAATTCTTCCATCTGAGGGTGGTGAGGCACTGGAACAGGTTGCCTAGAGGAGTTGTGGATGCCCCATCCCTGGAAGTGTTCAAGGCCAGGCTGGATAAGGCTTTGGGCAACCTGGTGTAGTGGAGGGTGTCCCTGCCCACGGCAGTGGGGTTGGAACTAGATGATCTTTAAGATCCCTTCCATCCCAAGCCATTCTATGATTCTACTCCGTAATAACCTCAGTGCAAAGTGTCAGCTCAGGAGCAGCTGAGACTGCCGGCACGTATCCAGCACCAGGCAAGTTCCTACCCACGCTCCCAGCGCCAAGGCAGCTCCCGAAAAGCCCAGTCCCTAAGGAAATGAATTGCTACATCCTGCTGTAGTCCTAGGTACTGATGCACGCTGTTTTCTGCAGCAGCCAGAATTCAGGCTGTGTGAGTGTCTGCTCCAGCTGTGTACTGGGCTCCTAAAGCCCCGCTCCCTGGCAGGCAGAACGACTGCTCCGGTGACAGCAGCTTGCCAAGAGCTGGCTCACTGGATTGCTCTGACATCCAAACACCCAAAATAAGCATGCCAGCTACCATACCCCAAACAACCCTCCCCAACCTGATATGAAATGATACACTATAAAATATACTTCAATCTCAATTAAGAAATTCATGCAAATGAACCCATCAGCTTCAGTTCTCCTTCACCTTACTCAAGTTTTACTCTAAATTCATACATTCCTTCTTGCCTCTCAAGAGTTCTTTGGCTAAGTGGTTTTCTAAATAAAGAATCTTATTCTCTACATATTTTTATATAATAAAAATAGTTTTCCAGGCTATTCTGCAATTTTGGAAGCAGCTACACAGCACCATCAAATTTTTAACTATTAGCAGGCTTGAACTGATACACATTGACAAAATGTGTAAGTTGAAACAGCTTTCCTGCTTCTTGCTTCTCACACATTCTTTTTCTTGGCTATTGTAAACACACTATCATCTTAGCAGCATGAATCAAAATTATCAGCTGTTCCCAGATTGCTTTTAACTCTCACTCCGATTACCTGTATGGCCATGTTAGTCACGTACCAATGAATAAATCCCCAAATAATTCAAGAAGAAACAGAGAAGGTAAACACGAAGCAGTAGATATGATTAGAAGCTTATAAATATCAAGTGGGAACTTATTTTGGGCGTTGTTCAGTGAGAGTCATTACAAAACTTCTGTGACAACCTTTCTGCAGAAATTTGCACATAACAATATGTTTATGACTGTAACAATAGACTTTGATGTGAAAAGCTCACGTTTGAGTATTTTTTCTTCTTATAAAATGCAAAAATTCCTCCTATTCCTGCTTTGGCCATGGACCTTGCTGTTGAATGGTCTGACAGTGCGCCCTCGGCTGCCATCTCCGGGCACAGATGCAGAACCTAATTTTAAAACACCAGTTGAGTTGGATTTATTAGCAGGGTGGGACAACCGATTCTTATTTGCATGGTCTTTTCTTATGGACTTTTCACAATCTGGGGGAAGACTCCATCATTCACTGTTCCCAGTTTCAAGGTGCTCTCTGGCCAACAGTCTGGACGTGCCCCAAAGCTCAGCTGCAAATCCTCATTCCTTACCAAGCCAGCAGCATTTTTTCCCCTTTGGCTATCAGTTCAGTTAGTTTTCATGAGTATTTATTTCAGTTACACCTCACGAGCAAAAGTACACAGCCAAATAAATATATACAATATACAGATAACGGAAAAACTGTGTTGTATGCCTAAGTTCACATAAGAGATTTCAAAGCATGCAACATTATAAATATCCTCAACTGTGCTGGTATAAGCTTGCTTACTGCCTAAAAGTTTGTTCAGCCAGCTGCAGTTGTAGCAGTTAGCAAAGAGACATGCAGAGAACAGAACAGTGGAAAGGTATAACGGATTATAATATGTTATTGAGCTAAATCTAGGTAGAAACAGCTATGTGTAGAATGGCTTGTGATAAAACAGAGCTGATTAGATGAACAACCTAATGTTTTACTGTAGACTTTCAATTTTTTAATAATGAGCCTACAAAAAATTGAGGAAAGTTATTTTAATAAGTTACAAGACTTACGTAACCACTAATTCCAATGGCTAAGATTAAGCATTTTCTTCTCAAATTTCCTCTGTTTCAACTAATTGTACTTTCATTCAACTTTCACACATGCAAACTTGTTTTTACGGCAATTGTTTCTAAATGTTCTAGTAAGTTTACTATGTTCAAATATGCAAAGTAGCACTATCTAGTAGCCAGGGTTCAGTAATAGCTCAATTGGTCGTAAGGATTTTATGCAGTGTCAACATCTCGATGTGAAAAGCAAAATAAGACCAAAAACTTGCCTATAAAATGCATTTCTGTTTCCAAAAGATAAAAAGAGAATGATGCTGCGTCTACCAGGGAGTAGTCACAAAAGATGGGGAGGCAACTGGTTCATCTTACAAAATAAATACAGTATAGCAAGCTCAACGTTTATACGTAAGTTCGCACTGTATTAACACTGCCTTTATGTGTGGGTGGTAGTGGTTTTTGGCAGAGTTACCAGATCCATACACAGGCGGCCGTAAGCCGGAAAGGTGCAATAAAAAGGAATTAAAAATAAATAAAACTGTCTTTACCATGTGGGTCTTGTTCATTTGACTTCGGGCTGCTTCTTGCTCTGCGCTCCGGTTTCTTTACCGCTGGAGCCGCCCCGCCGCCGCTGCTTGCTCCATTGTGGCTCTTCGCGTAACCATTATACACAGTCGTGCAGCTGCCTATATGGCTTTTGTAGATGGATGAAGGAGGACTATTCAGACGGTTCTGGCGATCAACCTGCCTGTCTTTGAGTTTTTTGTGCTGTGGTTTGCTGTACTGATCTTCCCTAGTAATATAGCTGGACATCCCATATAGTGGTATGATTTCTGAAACGAAAGAATTCACCCACGGTAACTCAGAACAACAAAATCACTGGATTTTTTTTCCAAAAAACAAATTCCTGACCATCTCTAAATGAAACAACGCCATATTCTGCTAGAGATGGCATTTACAAAAAAACAAGAGGGTTTTTTCCTTAAAAAAAAAAAATCCTTTCTGCAGGACTGATTAATTTTTGGTATTATATTACAATACATAATATTAAAAGTGCTCATTTGCTGTTTGATATTTTAGAACTCACTGGGTGAGTGCACATGAACAAGTAAAATACAGTAATTAGGACAACAGTTTTTCTCCTCTTTTTCTGTTTCTGTGTTTTGGGGACATAGATTTCAAGGAAAATTCCAGGGAGAACAATATTTAGGAAAAAGCCTTCATAAATTCACAGTAATTTGGCATTTTCTTCCCCAGGGCCTGACTGGACAGAACAAGCCGAGATGCCCTGGTTTCAAGCTGCCATCACTGATTACATGCACTTTAATTTCCCAGTATAAATAGACTTTACAATCATGTCAACTGTGCCTGCCTAAGGAGAGAAGCGCAGCATGAAGGGGAAACTTCGGGCAAGTAGAACTGTCTAAAAAAATCTTGAGAAATATTCTAAGTATCATACGTACACTTTAGATACACTTCATGAAATACAATCCCCCCTTCCCCTCTCCAAGAATGACCATCTCTAACCTAAGGCAGGTCAGCTTGCAGGAATCAGAATATTTTCTGCTTTCTTCTATAGTTCAATCCTCCTTTTTGCCCTCCACTTTGAATCTGAAGCTTGAACAAATTCATGCCCCAAAAACCAGTTTTGCCTTTGTCAGCAAAATAACAATTGATACTTGATATATTCTTCAAATTTTTTTCTATATCCATTCAGAAGTTATCATACAAACTTCTGAAGCAAACAAGCACCCTATCCAGCCGTTGGAAGTCTTGTTTGTGAGCTGAGATTGCCATGTATACTATATTGTAATTTCCCAAGTTGTTTCAACTAGCCAGATTTTCTTTCTTTGCTATTTCAGTGCATCTTGGTCTCCATCCCTCCTTGTCTAACTACACGATCATATTTACATTCTTGCAGCACTAACTGCCTAAAATCGGCATGCCACAAATAGATGCAATTTTTGTTTATAGTATAAGCCATTGTACAGCAAATGGGAAATGGTGCGTTAATACTCATCAGTACAATATTCACCACTTGTTTCAGTGTTACAGATATAGGTCATTCCAGTAAAGGAATCACAGATTTTTTTTTTAATTATTATTATTTTTACATTGAACTGACTTCTTGGTACCTCCAGGCTGCAGAAATCTACTGAACTAGCAACTCTATGTTTGCTTCGCACACTACCACATTTGCAGACAAGATTTTGTCATGCAATCTGACACACTGCCCTCCTCCTTTCCAAGGGGAAAGTCCCTCCCCTATGTATCTGGCTGGCTACACAGTCCTGCTGGTTTCCTGAGCTTCCCACTTCCTCCCCCCTCAAGTACAGTGAAGCCAAATGTCAGCCGTAAGGGTCCGTTCCTCACTAGAAAACGAGGTCAGCTGGTCAACAAAAACTGCACAGGGTAGCATCAATAGATACCTCCCCCTCTCTGCCTCTTCCCTCCCACTCCAGCAGAACCTCACTTCTCATGATAGGGCTTAAACATATTCTTTAGAAAGGGTCTTAAGTCCAGGTAGTTCAGCAGTAACGTGAAACCACGAATCCTGAACTGATTTCCGAGTTAAACATCTCAAGTAGCTTTGCCGATTACTTTTTTGGTTAACGCCCTCTTCCAGATTACACAGAGACTTATCTCCAGGGTGGCACAGACACAACAGTGCGTAGTTCAGACAGAAATATGCCCCTTTCACTCCTTTTCTTGCAGTTATTTACTCACGGCCTGATTAGGGTTGCCATGCTACCCTTTGGTACCGAACAATGCTTTTCAGTGACTTACTGCCCAGTCTCAACCAGAATAACAAACAGAAAATGCCTGTTATTTCTTGGAAAACCACGGCTGGGGGCCAGAAAGCACACTACGGCCAACAGGAAGCAGCATCCGGCTTTTCCCACTGGAAATGACTGCGGCAAGCCATGCTCGGATACAGCCTTCCGTATCCATCCTCGTTCCCAGGCCACGACTGACACACTTTGTGTCTCGGTTTTCTGTACAACGCTGCATCGTGATGCAGCAAGAGCAATCGGCATGACTCACACTCCTAGTTTGGAGCACAGGATGAAACATTTTTTCCCCATTGTATTTACAAATTCAGTTAAAATTGGTTTTATTTCTGCAACCTAGCATTGCAACACTGGACTGTCCCATATTGCTGCACTCTGGATGGCTACACCTCCCAATCCTTTCCTGCTCCAAACGTTAAAGAAGGAGGCTCCATCCATGTCGGCAACACCATTCTCCAAGTTCTCCAATTAATTTCCACTCTTGTTTTCACTAGTCCTTAAAATTTGATGAACACAGGTGTGAAATGTCAGTACCTTCCTTCCAGCTCACCTTGTTCTCCATATATTGTAGGGGGAAGATGATGCTGTGGGAAAAACTGTGGTGGCATGTCCCCAGGTCCAGTGACAGGAGGATAAAAAGCTGTATGAGAGTTGTGAAGAAAATGGGGATGGTGTGTCAGGTATGGAGGTAAGTGATGGGTTGGAGAGATGGCCGAAGGATAGCTAGGTGGGTAACACTCCGGAGACTGGGGGGTAACCACCACCCTCCGAACGCCGGTGTTGTCTTCTATCACCTGGAAGGGAAGGCAGGGACATGAGCACATTATGCAGCATCTGAACCAAACATATTTTTAAAGCAGCACTGTTCACAGTTTGTTCTGCCATTAGAAGATGGTTGGTCCTTAGCTTTATGAATAAACACATTTCTAAAATATCAGCAGAAGTAATCATAGTGGTGACGTGGCTTTTCTTGGAGCCTCAGATAGCCACACTAATCACTGGGAGACTTGCTGCTGCCAGTGGTAACTATGTGGGTAAGAGACAATAAATAACCTGTATTTAGGGAGTAAAACAATTGAAAAAGGAACACAAAGCACCAAAATAAGAGTACTCATTGGGACCAACCTTACATTCTGCCCATAAAATTTCCACCACTGACTTTGGCAGCACTCTGAGTGAGTATGGAGCTGGTAATGCTTGGAAATTAGCTGGCACTGCTATTGCGGAGAAGCTACATGTGTGCACAGACACGTGTACTCTGCTGGAACCCGTTGTGTTGACACACGTTTTCAAACGAATTGCTCTGTTCAGAACAGGTATCTGTTCAAGGCAAATCATAGGGCAGAAGGTTTTTTCTGCTACAGAGCTGGTCTATACATTCATGGAAATCAGCTCTGGAATACGCATAACTTGGCCCCAAACGCCATAGTCAACGCATGTAAAAACAGATGTAGGAAGGTGGAAATATGCTTAGGTTGAAAAAAGCTTTTCAGCTTATAATTCTTCCAGAGCTATGTTTCTGGAGAACAGTCAACCAGCTAAAATTCAGACCAGAGTTAGAAGCCAAGCTTTTCTTGAAGCTTGTTCAAAAAACTTCTATCATTTCTGGAACTTAAAAATACAACCGCGTAAGAACAATTACTATCCCTTTGATACTCTACGTTGACGTGCATAAGGTAGAAAAGCATGAAGGAAGCATAATTTAGTTTCATACAACAAACAGGCTGTTAAAAATCTAATTTTTTCTAAACTGACTGAAGACAGACAGATGGAATAACATATGCGATGAATGTGTTGCATGAGATAAGTGAATGTGCATCAAGGGCACCTGCCGTAAGATGCTGCTACTCCCAGCTGATTACCACCAACATTAGCTGGAGTCATCTATGCCCCGTAACTTGTAATTGATGTTTTGCATTAAAAAAATGTGTTGCTTGCTACGCTGAGTAGCCATAACAGGAACAGTTTAGCTTCACACACTTGATCCTAACCTCTAAATTTACAACCTCAATTAGCAACGTGTCGTCTGCTAGCTTTAAATCTCTAAGACTTTATAGGGTCTTCAAACGATGGCTGAATCTCAGAGATTTAGACTATCATATCAGTGGTTTTCAGGCCTCCCATCTCTGCTACTGGTTCTACTCAACCTCCACAGGATCTCTTATCCTGGTGCCAGGTCTGAAACCTGCGCTCCAAGATACAGAAAAGAGGAAAATCCTTTTTCATTTACCACATATTTGATAAACAGAACTATTTATTTAGGACTGTGTACAGAAACATCAGACTTAACTCTCTTAGACTTGGATCATGCTCTAATTGGAGACAGCAAGTTCCTTCATCTTGATGTGACAAGTTTCCATCATGGCTTTAACTAGTCCAAGCCTGTCCTTCAGGTGGGTATAAGCTCTTATCTGTGCATATAGACCAGACTACATGTGTGTTTTGTGCCCTAGTGAAAGATGAATATGTTAAAGAACAGATTTAGACAGAAAGCTTGTACTCTGTAGCAGCACGAAATGTAAACCCGTATTTCAAATCATTAGGTTTCCTATTCCTGAGCTATCTTCTAGAGACCCGGGAGGAAAGTTCAGAGTTCCTTCAAAGACCTTTTTGATGAAATTATGCTGCTAGCTGAAACTATGAAATACTAGCAGTAATGACAGAAAAGCCAGAGATCAGGGGATGAACCAGCCTTCCAAATGACTTTTGTCAAAAAGCTAAGAGAATAATATTAATATCTTTTATTTGTTGCCTCCCAGGCCATGAATGCTGACAGCATTCTTGTTACCTCATGTCCCTATGTTCCAAATAAACACAGGGGACCTTGCAAAGAAATACTTTATCTCCCTATCCTACAGGGCATTTCTTCCATAAACTAGGAATTATAGAGACATTTGTAAATTTCTGAGGCTGTACATACAGTCTTTAAATATGCTATTCCTGTCCTTAAGAGATCATAGAATTGGTAATCCTATGTATTATGTACTATATGCATTAGATAGCTACAAAACCAGGATGGGTTAAGGCTGTAGATATCTACTGATCTGTAGAACTTGCAGTGGGCAGACTGAAGCCGTGCCATTCTGGGAGACGGACACTTTCAATTCATCAAAGACAGAGCAAAATTAGTTTTGCTCCATTAATGTAAATAACATAACTTAGCAGAGAGGTTAAACATTGGAATTTAAGGAAGAAATCTGCAGTTCTTTGTATACGCTTAAAAGCCTTTGTCACAAAGATCATAAATCCATCAGGAAACACACTGTCTGCTGAACTGTCTCTACTTCAGTGCCCAGAAGCAATGAAACCCTAATCCCTGTTGAGGTCTCTAGATGCAACTGAAACATTAAAAGTAATTGCTATTACTCATTTTAGCAGTTTATATTTATAGAAAACAAGTATCTCTGGTCATTTGGCACCTAGAGTTCAACTTTCATTATTTTGTATTTTTCAAACAGTTACTAGGTAAATTGTTTTTCACTGTTATTTTCTGCACTTGCTGGTGTAATTGGCATGCTGCCTCAATAACAGTATTATTATAGCATAGTTCTGTGTGTTTTTTTCCATATTTTAGGGAGCTTAATTGCTAAGTGAGGTAGATAGACGATCTTTCAGGAGACTCTGGATGGACATTACTCATACACAACAAAAATGCTTCCTTCATCAGTTGCCACATCTTGAGAACACTACTTTAAATGTTATTTGTTATACAGTAAAGATATCACTGTAGCAATGAAAATGCAATCTAACTAGAAATAATTCACATATTCAAAGTACATCACTACTCCATGTTCTCTCATTTTTCTCCACTGAAATTTAATACTACATCCCCAGGAAAAAGACAGGCATGTTCATTTTGCACGTTAACTGCACCTCTACTTTGTGAGTTCCTTTTAAAGAAGTTTAATCACTCTCATTCTGCAACACACATTTACTGAACAATATGGTAATATGGAATTAATTTCCATTTACTTTCAAAAAATTTTTCTTATTTGACTTAAACTTAAGTGTGCTAGATTCAGCAAGGACATCTGGAGCATGGCCTCTGGGTGGACCACGACCAATACTTAGGGAATTTCATAAGCTAATTTGAAACTTCATTCATAAATCAATCTGTACCAGAAAACAGTACAGAATGAGCTCATCCACAAGGAACTTGGATGTCAACATTTTATTTATTCACTTAATTTATTAAGGATGCCAATCCAAGTTCATGCCAGCCCTGGCTAGCCTGCATCACTATCTTTGCCATCCATTACATACACACACACCAGTATTAAATCTGTACCTTGAACCTGGAAAACACACAGATGAACACCTACAATGCTGGCAAGAATGCTGGGATATATTAAATCTAGAGTGATACAGATCTTCAGGACCAATGCTCATGAGCTTAAAAGGATGATCACTTTATGGCTGGCTCCATACGAATACAAGATCTGCACAACCTTCCTTATGTTCAGAGCGCTGGCAAGGATCATCCTGCCAAAAGATGACTTGATCGATCGCAGTCTACAAAACACACTGAGAGGGTCTGTGAGCAGTAAGCCATACAAAAACATAGAGTCTGTGGCTAAAAGCTTATGCTAGCCAAACGTGGTTTTGGAAGAGAACACCTCTCTTAGGGTAGAGGATGTACTCAAGACCAAAATCCTGATTCCTGAAGATGTGATGGATTTTCTAACACTTTAAATGTCATTTAAAGACTTAATTCTTTCTAGAGCTTACGCTCTAGTTCTGTCAAATGCTATGTGCTTGGTGCAGGAATACTGAACTGCAGGACCATGGCTTGAGCTGTATAGTTCAGACTACATGACCCCAACGCTACCTCCTGAAAAAAGGAGTCTTATCAGCGCTAAGCTGATATATTGTGCTCCAGAGCTATGCATATTTTGTGCTCCAACCAGCGAATTAGTTCTTTAGCCTTAAAAATACCTGTGCCAGAGACTACATATTAACAACTCTGTAAATAAAATCAAAAGCGGAGTTTCATGCCGAATTTTCATGTCCAACTACACGAGTAATTCCTCAATCTCCAGTGGAATTGCTCCAGATTTGTTTCAGCAAGAGCAGCCCTCAGCCAATAGCTCTAAGTAAACAAGTTCATGATCATGCTTTTTGATGTTTCCATTCTTCTAGTTCTCCTCATTAGAAGACATCAAATCCTCCTTCCCTCCTCCCAAACATACACCGTGAAAAGCAGAAACAATCACCCATGAGGATGCCCTCAAATTTAATAGCTTAGCATTCAAATTATGATCTCTAATCTTCAGATTATGCTGGCATCAAGGAGCTAGGGTGCTCTGGGAGCCAGGAGAAGGCATCAGGCCACAGACCCTGATGGCAAGAAGCCTCTAGTGACCATCCTAGCAGAGGTTGGCCTCCCAGTCTGCCCCCAGGACACATGCGTCAGGGAACACACTCCATCCGCAGCTCAGAAGTGGAACAGGCACTAACAGCTTGTGCCATGCTCCTGACAAGCCAGAGGAGCTGCTCCTTCAACATTCAACAGTTGAAGCCAAAATTGTTGATGTTGCACGTGTTTAATACAGATTTCTCTACCCTGCCACCTTCCACAACTAACTTTTAGAGTAGCAACATTGTCCACCGAGAGCACAGCAAGGAATTTTTTCCTCTCTTTTTTATTTAACTAAGCCCTAGTCAACAAAGAATTGCGGAGACATGAACTCTGATCTGATAGCTCCTATCTGCCAGAGATGCACAGAGTTTTGTCTGCTGAAAAAGAAATGCAAAACAACTGGCTGTATTGAACCGGCCTTTGAAAGTAAAACCATAGCATAAAAGAGCTGAACTAGTGGTGTGTATTTGTCTTGTATTATTTTCCTGGATTTTTTCCCACCCTGGCTAAGCCTCATCATTGGGAACATCTCCTTAACATCAACAAAACCAGCTTCTAGTCACGACTACTAATATGGGCCTCCAAGTCTCGAAATAGTCTCACTATTTTTGTGCTGCTTCCACAGGAGCTGATGTTGCAGGACACACCACCTCCTGCCAATTTTTTGCTGATCATTTTCACAAATACTGAAGACATAATGAAGCATCATTTTAATCCAGGGTCACAATCACTGGATAACTAATGCAATATTTAAGGCTAATACTCAAAGCTCCAACAGGTTTGGCATAACAAAATGGAAAAAAGATTTCACGCCTTTATTTAGTAGGCACCGTTTCTTCTCCACAGGGGTATCTGCTTTCTGCCTGGCTCTTAGATGTACACTTTGGGGACAAATCAAACTGAAATCAAATATATTTTGTTTCATATCTCAGAATGCATTAATTTGCTTCATGGCCTTTCCCTTGCAATGCTAAATTTAAGTTGTGTTCTCATTGTTTATCATAAAATAGAGATTTTTGACTATGAGGCAACAGACAAACACAAGAGCAAACAAGGCAGGGGCATTTATTACAGTAAGAACTAATTTGATTACTGCACATTTTCAACTACTATTTATTATGAAGCAGTCTGACAGGCAAGAGGCTCACTCACCACAGAGAACAACACACAATCTGCTGCTGAAAAGCATGGAATACTGAGTTTTCCCTTAAACTTACAACATATTTCCAGCTCCATGGAAAAATTTCTTCAGAAGAGGGTTCTTGGTTGGGGTTTTTTTGGTTAAGAAACTACTTAAAGGCTTCTTTAGTGGAATTATTATGGTGCCCCACAAAAAGCATTACAAAGGAACTGGGTTTACACAGAGATGCAACTGTAAGACTTTTATCACTCAGGTTTGGAAAGCGTTCCAATTATACCCAACCATTTCTCTCAGTGCAGGGGCTGGGAGGTACAAACAGTTTAATAAGGCAAAGGTGTAAAAGTTATTTCAAAAGAAAAGTAAATCTTTAAAAATGTCCTCTGCATGATATGGGTCAGTTTATTAAAGGAGCACCAAACAGCACTGCAAATGCTGTCTCAAAGCATACCCCAACCACCCACCTCGGGATGCTTGAGGAGCAGGAGGAAGCTGGACCGCCCTGCTGTCCTGCCCTCTCTCCTAGCCTGGCTAACAACGTCCCCTGTACTTGAAGCATGTTTTCACTCTGTTCAGAAGTTAAAATACCACAGAGCGATTGCAGCATTTTGTGGGATTTAAGTATGACGCCATCCACAATTTTTCAGAATTACACAAGCTCACATGTTTCCTGGGGAGGGGAGAGGATTCCAGGACATCAGCTATTTTCTGCTCAACAAGATGCCAAAATATATGTATCAAAAGTTCTTATGCTATTCATCAAGGACATCTGAAATACTCTGTATACTTTTAAGGAAGCTCTCAGTCCAGTCCAGGTCTCAATGAAAGTGGTGAAGTCATTGGATTTATTGTATTGTTCACAGCTATTCTGCCTTGCATCAATCTTCCTTTTTTTTTTTCTTTTCTTTTTCTCCCCCTTCCTTACTTCAGAATGAGTCTCAGCTTTGCAGAAGATGGAAGAGACACAAACAATCTGGTCACCTGAAGTGGTTATTTACACAGAAGAGCAGTAGCTGTTCAAGTGTTCCAAAACCTAACAGCTTTGTAAAAAGCTTTTTCCATTTTTTCCATAAATAGACAACTAAAACACATTCATTCTTGAAAACAAATCAAAACTCCCAGTTCTTGATATACTGCACGATTTCTCCTGGTAAGATACTGATATCAACAGCATATTTTATAGCTACAGTTGCTCCTTCTCTCACTTCCACCAGTCTCCTTCTGACTGTCACACTAGAACTTAAGGTATCACCTAACAACGTGGACTTCTCTGCCTCTCACAGAGTGAGAGTAGTTGCACATATAGGCTCGATCTGTATGTATAGCTTTTGCTAGTGTTCCAAAAAAAGCGCTGGTACACACAGCAGTGTGTGAAGGTGCACGTGCATGCTCACTTGTGCAAACGTGTGTGTACTGTCAGTTAAGTGAAGGAGTATGAAAATGGGTATTACTATTTTCATTAGTATTTCTAAATTAAACTTCAACCAAGTAGACTTCTCTACATGGATCTATGCTATTGCTTTTTTCAAGAAGCATACCTGTGAGATATAACCGGGAGGCACATGAATAGGGGGAATGGATCCATTGGGTGACATCATGGGAACCTCTGCTGGTCCTAACAGAACGAGAGAAATAAGATATTAGTTTTTTCTGTTAAAAAAATTGCACAATTGCTCAGAAAAGGCTAAAAATAGCTTTATTTTTGAAGCCTGCAATAACAAAATGAGCAGCTCCACTAATTTCTGGTATATGGAAAACGCTTTGTGCCATCATTCTGAGAATAAGATCATTGTTCAATGACTTTACCATGTATTCTGTTGAAATAATATTTTCATCATAAAACAGCTAAAACATAGACTTTATATTACCCACTGATCAACTTATACAGCATTAAGCAGTAACACAATATGTCCTTTAGCAGCCCACAATTCCTATATTGAAATCTGGTTAAGTTATTCTTGTCGAAGACATGGGAGCAGAGAACAAAGTAGAAACTGTGCAGCCTGGAATTAGGCAGCTCCCAAGGAAAGCGTCCAATTGTAGCAAAAAAATCACATGTGAAAAACTATCTATCTATTAAAGAATGCACAAAGACCAAATTCATTATCTCAGCTATTCAGACTAACCTTGGAATGTGGTTATACAAGCAAGAAGCCTACGGTTTCCACTCCGAAATCCAGCCCTGAACATGCAAGTTCCATTTTGAGGCACCGGGTACAAGTATAACAAAGCAAGTGCCATAACTACTCGACTTCTGCGAAAGGAGCCCCACAGCTAAAAGACAGCGTCCAGATGAAACGGAAATAGTTTGCTCAGTCGCTCATTGATTCAGCTATTAAAACGGGGAACCTCACACAGAACAGTCAACAAAATGAAGCCCCCAAACATCAGACAGATGGCTGCAACAAGAGTTTACTACTACGGAAAATTCATTTCATTGCTTCCTTATTACATATGAAAATGTTTACACTAACCTGTTAGTTGGCCCATTTGCCATAGGCTAAGAAAATATTCTCCAGAAGAGCTCACTGAGAGCTCTGCACCTTGCTACTGCAAATTGAATTTCAGCTTTGACTACCAATACAAAAGATAACTTCATAACCTTCACTGATGGAGAAGTCGTCTAACATCTCCAAATCGTATCCCATTCTAGGCAAGGGAGCTAAATACTAAAACATACAAAGAACTTCAGGCACAGATGGGATGTAATGGCTTTTAGGAGTGACTGCTCCTAAAGTTTAGACAAATCAAATGAAATCCCCAACAGCAAAGTGAGCCACAGTCTGTTGTTTGATACCAGCAAAACCAGGCCACATTAAATTATCAAAACCTCATTCCCTATCCATCTCCATTTTTATATTCCTCAAGCTGCTCATCGTACAAGAAGCAGGACTTCTCACTCTCCCAAAATGCAAGTTACACAGAGAAACACACCAGAGCTATTTGTACCTCCTCTGATCTTGGTTCATTTTCTCTATCTGGTTATAGTCTAATCAGCATATATGGGTTTTTACCAGCCATATCTAGATTGGAAATATGGTAATTTATCATCAAGTGTATTAAGCACATAAAACCACCTACATTTTAATTAAAAGAAGTCATTTCAGGGGTGTGATTCTGCTCCTCTTCATTCTTCCCTCTACTTAACTATGCAGGGAACTTTACCTACACTATAGTGCCAATAAGAAAAAGAGTCGTTATTACTTCTTATTCAGCTCATATGGGTTCCCCCCACACCTCCACCTTATTCTATAGCCTTTTCAACAGTTATTTGTCTCCCCAGATAGTCAATAATTTTAGTGTGAATGGAAAAAAAAAATTCTGCATGAGCTGTAAGCAATTACTGGGGGGGAGGGGGGGG